GTCCCTGCAGCTTCACTGTAGCTTTTCGAAATTTCTGAGGAAGGATCACGGTCTTCCATTTGCGTTTTGCATTAGAAATGTTTGTAATTTAAAATATATTTATGTATGTGCTAGTGATTATTTTTTTAAAAAAATTTATGTTGAAATATATATTAATAATATTTTTTTATTTTTTAAAAATTATTTTAAACATCAGTATATCAAAACGAATTGAAAATATAAAAAAATATTTTAAATAAAAAATTTAAATTTTTAAAAAATATAATTTGCATTGTATTTTCAAATATATCATTAATGAACTATTATAGAATCAATGGCTATAATTAATATACCATCAATGAACTATTATAGAATCAAGGGCTATAATTAATATTGAACGAGGGCTAAAATAAATACGGGGAAGAAAATTGGGTAAAGATAATAAACACATACTAACATGTGAGCGAGGCTGTACAAATACTAACATGTGAGGGGGGCCACCGCAATTTAGTGGTGCATGTGACAATCTTTTATCTCAAAAAATAGCTTTTCTTGATACTGTTTTCTTCTCTTTATCTTTTTTCTATTCTTCTCTCTTTTTTATAAAGAAAAGGGCCTTTGTTTCTCCTAATTTTCAACTTTAGTCTCTTTAATTTTAATTTGTTAGAAAACAAAAAAATCAAACTATTTTGTGCAAAATCAAATGTCAACAAAAGTCCAAAAAAATTTGTGCTGCCATGAAAACCCCAACCCATATGAAGGCAATCAAACTAAAACATCAAGCCCAAATCTCAGTCTAACCAATGCTAAATGACCTAATTAGAAGAAGAAAAATAGTTGTGAAATATAAAAATAATAAAAGGATGAAAAAATACTTAAATATATAAAAATAATAATATAATGAATGAAATTGTTAGACAGGTAGCATTTACTTATTTTCTTCATATAAAAAAAAGATAATAAGGACAAAAATATAATTGTGATTGATAATGATGTACAATTTAAATTGATTATCTTAGCATCTTGTTTAATTGATAGTTGATAGTAGATAAAATATGATAAAATATAAAAAATTTTATTTTATTTATAATAAGTATTATTGTCAAAATTACATATTTACAACAATAATAAGATATTATTTTTTCATCTAGTTTACATTAAGTTTTGAAAATAATAATATTATAATAATCTTAATTATAAAATCTGAATCAGCTAGACGAGTTGACCCAAGACCTACCTAACTTGAGATCTAGACTTGTTTGGGTTTAAGAAAAATAGAAAATTTTTTGACCTAAATCAATCAACTGAAAACCTAAGTTTACCCATGACTCGATTAAATCAGGGTAAAACCCTGTTAACATATAACTAAAGTTTTGTTCCGGTTAACCACGGTATCAAGTTTTAAAATCATACTATTATCCTTATATATTTTAATTAGATATTTTAGGAATAAAAAATAAAAAAAACATTATTTTTAAAAACATATATATCCTGGTTTTAAAATATGAAAATTCACTTCAAGGTTACAGTAGATTGATATTTATTTCTATACTTTTTAACTAAATATACTTTATTTTATTATTTTTATCTTTCCTATTTTGAAATAATAATTGGAAAAGCAGTATGAGATTATTTCTTGTAATGTAATGGTTAGCTCAAGTAATGAAACGTGTTGATCATAATCACTAGTATTAGATGGGATTTGACTGATACTTTAGGTCTTGGTTTAGACAGTCAAATGCGCTGCAGCTTTACGACCAGCCGACCTAACATCACAAATAATTCATTAACCTAGCTAACAAGTCCTAGTCACTTTCTACAAATATTATAAATTTTATTTTCTAATACTTAATTTTAGGATTTTAACCTGAAAAAAAAAAACAGATTAAGGAGGATCTTGTTAATACTTGATGGATCATCGTGTTCCAACTATCAATAAAATCATTCAAATCTCTGAGAAAAAAGAAAAAAGAAAAAAAAATTCTTACATCCCTCGGCAGCAGCGTGGAAAATCCGTTTTTAAGAGAGTAGGATCTTGTCATTCCAAAGATACCCCTCCCCAGCTGGGTGTCGCTCTTTGATTGGCTTTCATACAGTTCCAAATCAGCGGCAACGGAGACCAAAATTCACAATAAAACCCTCCTACGGCTTCTCCCTTCCAATCCCCCCCGCCCTTCTCTCAAACAAAAACACCAAAAGACATGGAGGCTCTCCGTCTACAGCCACCACAGGGACCAACACTCCTCCGCCCAAGCCGCTCCAGATTGGCCTCACAAATCCTCACTAGACCCCACTACAACCCCAAAAAGTCAATCAAGCGGTTCATCAATGCTACCCTATCAAAACCCACCGCGGGGATCCCTTCAATGTCAACGTCATCATCTCCCCCCCACGACAATCCCTTACGCTCCTCCATGCTTTCTTCACCTCCATATCCCGTGAAGAAAGTCTCTGCAAATTCTCTGCAATACCCGTCCGGTTACTTGGGTGCCGTACCGGAACGTACTGTTAATGATGGCGATAATGGGAGTATAATAAATGCAATGGAGTATTTGACGAATATACTGTCGTCAAAGGTGTATGACGTTGCGATTGAATCTCCATTGCAGCTGGCGCCTAAACTCTCTGAGAGATTAGGAGTCAAGGTTTGGCTCAAGAGAGAGGATTTGCAGCCGGTAAAGAGTATTTCAAATATTTCCATCTTTTTACTGCTTGCTTTTGGAAGATTATTATACTTCTTGGGTAGTTTGAATTTGAGCTCATAGTGAATTTGATCTTTTATTTAGACTGGAAACTTTATTGTAATTTTGAGCTGTTTCATTCAAAATGTGTGTATTTAGCAGCCATAAATGTGGTTACTTTTCTTCTCTCTCTCTTTTTTTTTTGTTTTTGTCAACTTTGAATAGAAACTGGATGCGGGTTTTCATGCTTGAATGCAAAAAAAAGCTTCTTTTTACGTCAATTTGATTTTGATGGGTTTGATCGATCTTTTTTTAGGTATTTTCATTTAAGCTGCGTGGAGCTTACAATATGATGGCAAAAATTCCGAAGGAACAGCTGCAAAGAGGAGTTATCTGCTCATCAGCTGGAAATCATGCCCAAGGTGTTGCATTAGCCGCCAAAAGACTAGGTTGCGATGCTGTAATTGCAATGCCTGTTACTACACCTGAAATTAAGGTACATTATGCGAGAGATTATTTTTTATGATTGAGCTGTGAAAGTAGCTTTTTTTAATTTTTTTTTTTGAATTTGTTCTATTACAGTGGCAATCTGTTGAGAGGTTGGGTGCGACAGTTGTTCTAGTTGGGGATTCTTATGACGAAGCACAGACATATGCTAAAAAGAGAGCCAAAGAAGAGGAACGGACATTCATACCTCCTTTTGATCACCCAGATGTTATCATGGGACAGGGAACTGTTGGGATGGAAATTGTACGTCAAATGCAAGGTCCGTTGCACGCAATCTTTGTGCCTGTGGGTGGCGGCGGCTTAATAGCTGGTATTGCTGCATATGTAAAGAGGGTAAATCCTGAGGTCAGTCGGTTTTTTTAGTTTATTTTATTAATATTAAAAGATATGTACAGAAAAATTAGTTCAATTTTATTGATACTGGTGCTATTTTTGCATTTGATTTCTGGACAAACTGCCATGGGTTCCAAGGGCTCCAAATTGCTGTGTGTAAATTTAATTGATTTCTTTGTCATCTCTTCAGTTTGCATTTGCTTGCTGTTTTCTATGCAATGTCACAGAACTCTTGAAGAACACTTATTCAATATTTAATGCAGGTTAAGATCATTGGTGTGGAACCCTCTGATGCAAATGCTATGGCATTGTCTCTACATCATGGTCAGAGAGTGATGCTGGATCAGGTTGGAGGTTTTGCAGATGGTGTGGCTGTTAAAGAGGTTGGAGAAGAAACTTTCCGCTTATGCAAGGAATTGGTAGATGGTGTAGTTCTCGTGAGCCGTGATGCTATTTGTGCGTCAATAAAGGTAGGGTATATTTCATATTATTTTAAATTGCATGAATCCTTCTCCTTAGCTCGTTATGCATTCCTAGTGTGATAAGTTGGTCAGATGGGTGATTAGTTGTATCTTCCCCTCACACCTGTTAAGATCATAAATGAGGGTTCTGAGTAATTGCACATTATTACTTAGCACCTCATAATCACCTTCATCATTAACAATACCTCGTGTGGTCAGAATGTTGACTTCAGCATGGATATGTAAAAGGTAACTGCATTGATCATGCACACACAGGGTGAAGGGGACTCTGATTCTCATCCCACAGTCCTTGATTCCCACTGATTCAGTAACGTGCTAAAATAAAATATTTGGTGAATTGTACTTCCCTAGAAATGATGGCTAACCCTGCAAACTGGGTAATAGCAGTCAAATAGAATTAACATTGAGTTTTTGTTGCAGGACATGTTTGAGGAGAAAAGGAGTATTCTAGAGCCAGCAGGTGCGCTTGCCCTTGCTGGGGCTGAAGCATATTGCAAGTATTATGGTGTCAAGGGTGCAAATGTTGTGGCGATAACAAGTGGGGCAAACATGAACTTTGATAAACTGAGGGTTGTGACTGAACTTGCCAATGTTGGTAGGCAACAAGAAGCTTTGCTTGCAACTGTTATGCCGGAGGTGCCAGGGAGTTTTAAACATTTTTGTGAACTGGTATGGCAATAAATATTTCTAAAGGAACAACAATTTTATTAATTTAATTTGCTCTGATGTAAATCATTTGGGTGGCAGGTAGGACCTATGAATATCTCTGAGTTCAAATATAGATCGAATTCTGAAAAGGATGCTGTTGTTCTGTACAGGTTAGTATTGCTGAGATTCTAACTGCTATTATTACGCACGTCAATCCTATGCATGTGATAAACTGCCTGGTAGCTGAATCAGGGGATACGGCTGCCGAAACCCGCCCTGTTGATCAAGACTTGGTGAGGATTGATGCATTGTGAAAGGGGAAGG